ATTAAGTAAAGACTTGTGTCGTTAAAATTTGCTCGGAACGAAGTTACGGAAAAATCAATTAACAAACGGAGACGTAACACTAGTATATGTTTATAGCTTTAGCACTTGTTGCTGGTTGAGGTAGAACTTCAAAGCTTCAAGACCCTGTTATGATGGAGATTACAAAACTTTGACCTAAAAATGAAATTTTGAGTGAATATGGGAAAGAATTGGAGTTGGTAGGCTTATAATAGACGAATAATGAAGTTGAGGAAACTTACTGAATGTCTTGAAATGTTGCTAAAGGGCTGGATGATAAATTTTCACAAAACTGATAAAATTATATATTTATGTTAAAAGTTGAAACTCCAATTATGTTGTCAGTATAAAACAGGCATGGGTCCATCATAAGTTTGAAACACTTTGTGGTGTATGCAGCCTATAAAAAGGATGGTAAATGATAGTTCCATCTTGGTAACCATGGCTACATCCTTTGTTTGTAAAATGAATCGCTGAAAGAGAAGGTATTTGGTATCAAGTCTAGTTTGGGTAGTCTTACTAGAGTGTCCTTTGATAGCTCTAGCACTTCTTGCTAGTTGAAATAAAACATTACAGATTCAAGACCCTCAATATGTGATATGACAGCATAAAAGGACTTAATGTCCCTTGTGAATAGTAATGGATTAGAAATAATTGGGAAAATGTCATTGAATGCTTGAAGAGCTTCAGTGCTATCTTTTATGTAGGTTGAAAGAATATGTAACAAACTTCAGATTAACTCTGTTGGACAGTTACATGTAAAAACTAAAGGCTTTCTGAGGTTTTCAGATCTTTGTATGTTCTTGGTTCTTCTACAGTTAAGTCTCATACTTCTAGTAGGAGTTCTTCAGCATCTGTTAAATTATTTATGGTCTTTATAGTAGTTTGGAATTCAATGTAGTATTCATCCTTTGAGTTTTTGTTGTTCTGCCTCTAGTATATACAAGCCTTTATACCATATGACTATAGTACTACCATTTTCTGTGGGTTTGATGACAATGTCATGTCAATCTATAAGTTCTTTGAGGATTTAAAGAAGTTTAGAATTATCAGAGAATGGGCATCCTGGCACAAAACATTGGGAACATTATTTTGTGGTATAACCCCCCACCCCCATATTTTATTTAATTGTACCACAACAATCTTTATATGAGGGACAACAATAGTTAAGTAATGAAAAAAAATTAACGTATGCCTGTATGTTTTTTAATGTTAGGTTTTTGATAAAGAGAGCTTCTTTAATTTTTCTATGACTTTGTCAATGATCTCAACATCTGAAAAACCATAGGAATGATTATGTTCAACCATGCATTCAAACACATAAGAGGGAACTTTCAAATGTTCTTTTGGTATTTTCAAAAAAATGTAAGAACAGCCATAGTTTTCCATTTAATTTGATATGCTAATTCTGATGATTCACTGTCAACAAATTTTCTTGACAATAGCTGGTCTAATTTTTCCAATGATAGAAAAGAAAGTCTTACATTTAATTCTGCATCACACTTTCTTAACAATTTAATATATGTAATACATTTGCAAAAGTTAATATTCTTATAGTTTACTAATCAGGGTAATTGTGCCCATATACATGTGGCTTTGATAATTTAATAATGTTTATCCATTACTGTTCATAAGAAAATCAACAGATGTAACATAACATAAATCTGTTATCAATGCAATTAATTCTATTTTTATAAAATGTTAGAAATATTTGAAAAGGAAAAAAGAATCAGTTATTACATTTCAGTGATTATTATTTTATACATCACTCAGAATTGTTACTCAAAAATATATTTTAGTAAAATACCAATATACGTTACATATTTCTTTTTTTTTAATTTTTTTTGGGAGTTATCTGCGGTTTTCATGAAAGATCTCTCATTATATTAATAGCCAAATGGTTACATTAGAAAATAACTTTATTGATGGTGCATAGTTTAATGTGCATAAAGAACTGAAAAATATTTATTAGCGTTTCACATTCGAGTTACAAAAATGAAACATTCTCTGATGATTTAAGTTTGTATAATATAGTTAACATATAAGCATCAAAACAAAATAATATTCACACAAATACACTTTACAGTGATTACTAAAATTTTAAAATCCTGGATATTTAAACTAGGAAAAATCAAAGTAACTGCTATACTTACAGCTTATCAAATACTTGGATTTGCAAAATTTCAATATGAATGTAAGGCTTAAAAATAAATTACTATGGTAAAATAAATGATAGTATGAAATATGCTTCACAAGTCACAATTAAGAGCACTTCTGTAATCAAGCTTTTTGTAGATCATATTTAAAAACCAGTGCACATATGTATTAACTAACATAGAATTATGTAGTGTAGTAACTGTTAAAAATAAAGTAATAATAATATTGTTTCAAGGGTATTTTAAGTAGCGTCAACTTCTACCTGAAGACCTCAGTGTAAAAGCTAAACCGTCATCTTACTGTTGAAACAATGCAGTCCATTGAAGTAAAACCCTTAAAATGTTACGTTTAAGGATTTGAAGTTAAATAATGAAATACTGTTAAACATTTTATGTATAAACTAGGTACTTTGAAATTCAGAAAACAATCTCTCTCTGTACAATATTTAAAAAACATTTTGAGAAAATATCTACCAATAGCAAAAGTATTGGAATATTATAAAAGCAAACAACTGAGGTTCTAACCTGCTCTCATGAATTTTAATATATAACTAAAATTTACGTTCTTGAAGAGTATGTACCTACCAATACTTCTACACTATCATTAAGTACTAAACAATTGCTACAATATATTATAGAAAGCTTTAAACTACTAAAATTGTTTAATATTTGTAATTAAATATGCCAAAATAATTATAAATGGATTAAAACAGTTAACTCAGCATAATAATAAATTATTCAAATCAACCAACTTGTAATATGGATTACATTTATTTAAGAAAGCTTTATCAGAATTTATTTTTTATAATTACAAATTCCTTATATTTCTAAAACAAAGGTTAAAATATGTATTGAAACTTTGAGTGAGGATTCAACTGTTTTCATTCTTAATATATTTATATGCACATTTAGAGGACTGTGCGAGCCATGATTCCTGTATGTGATTGTGTTCTCAACAACTCAAAAGTATATTAACATTGTTTAGATCACAATGATATGTATACAGACATGACTTGTGTGGCTCTGTTACTATATTTAAATGTAAGTGTGCAGTAAGCTTAATAAGACAAGTGAAATGTTGCTCATATAATTTTAAATCATTAACATGGGTTGTCTAACTCATTAAAAAAGTAAGAGTTACACAATAAAGAATTTTTCTTAAAGATGTTTTTTTGTCACCATTAATTTGCTGGTTTTATGCTTTAGGAGATACAAAGAATTGATTCAATAACAACGAACACTTAAACTTAAAAACAATATTATGGCTATGTTTATAACATTCAACCATGAAACAAATTTGGAAGTGATCAAAACATCAAATAAATACTTATTATTATCAAAATGTTCCTATTTTAAACATATACAGAAGTTTCACTGTCAATGCAAAAAACTATCATAAATTTTAGGCACATAATGTAAAATATATTTAAATATGGAGTGTTTCTTTGTTAAGTGAAAAGCAGCACAATGAGCTATGTGCACTATGCCCACTGCAGGGATTGAATCTTGATCTTTAACATTATAAGGACTCAAGTTTAGCACTAAGCCACCAGAGGGGTATTTAAGTGTGGATTATTGGAAAGAGAAATGAAACAACATTTCTTTAAATTTATGCAATTTTCATGTGCTATTGATACTATTCATCTACCACAAGATTGCACTATGTTGTACAAACTGAAGCTGTAGATCGCAAAGTTATATAATATATCTACGAAAAAACTATAATTTTAATTAAACTTTTATGTTTCACAATTCAAGAAAATGCATGATAAAATTATTTGATTTTGTTAATCAATTTTGAATATATTTATATAACTTAAGATTTGAAATTGCTACCAATATTCTTTAGGAAAAGTTTGACTCAATACATTATTCAGATAAGTGCACAAGAAACAATTTTTTACATTAAAAACAGTCTCAATAACTTACTCATAAAAAAAGGTCATGAAATATTGCATATTTTTTTTTCTGGAACAAAATATATATTATTCTTTTAAGACCTGAACAACAAAATCAGTTTTGTAAACATTACTACATAATACTTTAATATATACTTAATACCTTTATCTCTCATGTGAAAAAACATGATTCTTATATAAATCCAGTAATTTTAATCACACAACAATGGTATCATATAATTTTTTCACGAAAAATTTCAAAAGTGACTTTAAAATTGTGTTATTACACTGCAACCATGAGTTTGCTCTTTTCTTCATTGGTGGTAATGTATTTTCTTATATTTCAAATTAACTGGATAGCCATATCTGACACTGATATTTATAAAACTCGGATTACTACTTTCCATACATAAAATTTAGGAATTTAAAAACTTTTTTGTAAATATAAAGAATACAGAAAAAGGTAATCAAATATCACTTAAGGCACAAACAATAATATAATTTTACTATATTTAAAATATAAACTACGTAATTCATTAATCCTAATAAGTAAAAAGAGATAAAACAGGTTTAAAAAAAAAGATTTTTTTTACTTTGACCTGCTCTCAATAATTTGTAGTTTACAAGTCAACAACTAATAAAGTTAATGATTGTATTTCAGCTCAAATTATCCAAGTTATTTTGTTTATTTTTTCTTGATCACGAAAGATACTAAGTTATTTCAAAGACAATTTTTTTATGAAATGCTAGTTTCATCTACCACTATTTACTTACCCATGATAAAAACTGTTTATCACATGCCTAATGGCATTTAAGGCTCCTGGCCTTAACAACTTGGCATTTAGAGTGATAAGGACTAATTTTTTTCTAGAATATTGCATAAGATGTACACTATTAATTAAATAACATTTCATGAAATCTAGGTTTGCATTATGCAGAGCTGTCTCCCAGTTTAGTTACTTACAATTTCTTGAGATCAATTGTTTTTTAAATAAAGAAATAAATTTTTTTAAATAATTAACATTTATATATGTAACTGAATTTTTTCCTGTGTAATTAAAAGGAAAGAAAAGAAGAATTAAACATCATTATAACTCAATGAGCATGAAACAATGACAGTACAGTTAATATTTTTAAATAAATATATATATATATATATATATATATGTGTGTATTTTGAATATTTGTTCACTCTGAAAATCAGAACAGATATATTTTCTTTTGAAAAGGAACACATCTTTGCACTAGTGACAGTTTGATAAATACAATTAGCTATTTTCTTTCATAAAAAAATTAACTTAAAATTTCACAAGAAAATATGAAAGATGGACAGGCATGTTTATGAAAGTTCCATTTTGAAAATTATAAGATGTTAATGAGTAGGTTTAGTGTCCTTGTCTTTACTGGTAAGTTTTTCAATCAGTTCTTGAAGAGGGGCAAGTTCGCGCTTTTCTATTAGACTGAACTCTTGTACAAAGAAGATGAAATGCTTGAAGCTTGTGTTTAGATGGGCTTCTTCTCCAAGCTGAACTACCTCAGAGAAATGCTGATGGTAAATATGGGCATAAACACGAAAGAGTCGTTTTAATATGGTCTTGGCAATAGACAGAAAGTTCTTTGGAAATGGAACACCTTAAAAAAAAAATAATCAAATATTACTATCAATGACTTTTTCAAAGATGAACATATAATATAATTTCTTACATGCAAAACAGATTGCATGGTTAATGTTTTTTAGTGCAGTGATACACACTCAAAAACACTGTTTCTACTACCATAACAAAATATAATCTTCAGACAGAAATTTCTCAAAGTATAAATAATTAGAAATAACATAAACATTTGAACCCATAAACTGCCACACTAATGTGTTATTGTACAAATGAGGTAATCTTAAATATGAAGGCGATGTACATTTTTCAATGACAATTTTCATTAAACATCATAGATATTTACAAAGTATTAAAACACGTTTGAATTGTCGCAGAAGATGGTTTCCTCTTTGTTTCATAAACCATCACATTATAAAACAATTAAATTACATCATGTACGCCACTGAATACTTAAGCCTAATCTTTTAATTTAAGAAAAATATATACAAAATTTAACATTTACTAATATGCATCCCTACATTTCTGTATTTAAAGATTTTTCAGCATATTTTTCCAACAAAATTGAAGTAACAATAATTTCCATTTCCAGTAATATAATTTGCATAGCCTCTGTAACGTCTGCTCATCAAATTCAAGATATGTCTGCAATAAGTTTTTGTATTTCCCTACCTTTAAACATATTTGAAGTAAATAAAAAGAAAAAGACTAATGACTTTATTAAACAAGTCAGTTATATTTCCATGAATCTGTACTGGATAATTATAGTAATATCATCAAGATGAGAGGGTATAAAATTCTGTGGCAATATTTTTAGTTAAATGCATAGGTTTAGCTTCAACGTTATAGTTTTTTTTTGGCCTATTTTGAGCAAAAATAAAGGTTTTGAAGGTTCTACCAGGAGGCAGTGTGGATTGTTTGATACATTAGGTAGTGTTATTTACATTGGATGGAACTCTTCAATTCACTTGAAAATAATTTCAACTGGTATTGCCTACACATTCTTTAACAACAGCTGCTCCAGTACCTCTGTCGACCTACTTACTTATCAAAACTTAAATCTTTAGCAGTAAGTATGGAGTCAAACCACATTAAAAAACACTTGTTTAACAGAGGATGGGTACGATACAACAGGAATGTTGAAAGTTGGTCAACAGAATATTTCTATGAGCAACGACTAATGAAGGTAATTTTGACATGGAATTTGGAAAAGCATAGAAATATTTAATTTTAATCTTCCTACAAGACATAATGAGCTGGTAAATAGTTTCTTCTCCTGTAAAAAATGCTTTCCTTGGCAGATTTTGTTCTTCAATTGAATTGTTACATATGTACGTTTAATCATTTACACACGTATGTATGCTAAAAGACAAACTCTCTGTGAGAACCTTCTTTTCAAAAATTTGTACACAGTGCCACCTGACACGGAAGGTTATTATTTTTACACTATTATTAGCGTTTATAAGTGCATAGCTGAAACCTATGTATACATAATTTAAAAAGAAAGAAAAGTGAAATAATAGCTTGAGCAACACACCCAATTAAATCAACAGATGCAGAAGATCTATGAAATATAAATTAATATATGCATACAGTGGTTTAATGAAACATCACAATTTCTCTCACAAAAACTTAAAACTGAATTCAGAATGCTATGTAGAAATAAGTATTTTTAAAAACAGTCTGACAATTGCCATACATTTTGGAAAGATAATTGACAGGTATTTTCCATATTTTATAAATAAATAAAATCAACACTACAGTATAATCACACTGTCATATTCATTATAATAACTAATAAAAACATTCTGTCCAATATACCTATTTTGGAAGGAAAGAGAGTTTCATCATCTAACTGATCTTGGACCCACGTCATGAGGTAATCTATGTATTTAGGTGCAGAGCACTTGATTGGTTTCTTGACTGTTTGTCCGTCAGCCCAGTGATATTCATACTTGGGTCCAGCAGACATGACAGGACAGCTTTCTTCGGTGCAAAACTCTGTGATTGTACCATACAGCATGTTGATTTGGTTGAAAAAATCCACAGCTACATACAGAAACAAATTTTAATACAAAATATTTCCCATAATGAATATTTTGATTGTTTTCGTATTTGATTCAAAACATAGCTATCAAATTTTAATGACGTTGCAAGTCTACATTAATGCCATATTATAATCAGATCTTGGAATACAAAAAGATCTACCTGTACTGTATGAAAAACCTACTCATAATTCTAGCATGCTAACACAAGTAAAGAAAAAATGTTTTTGAATTTTAGATTTATATACACACACACGTGTATAACTTTTTCAAACCACTGTTCCGGCATTATTCATGAAAAATAATGTTCCACGTTTTGTTAACTGTCTAGTATACCATTTAACATTCCTGCGTTATCCCAAGCTTCTCATGCTCACTGCTAAAATTAATTTCTTTGTACAAGTCTTCCTATCAAGGTGGTATGCTAATAACTGTTGTATCTTTCTCAGACTTTTATTAACACTTGCTCATATTTTTTGTTTAGATAAGGAAATTTTAAATAATTTTAAGATATTAAAAGATATTGTGCATCATTATAGAGATTCAAAGAACCCATGCCTAAAGGTAAACAGGAATATGTTATAATATATGAACCACACTACATCTGCCATATCCAGTGCCAATAAGGTCTTTGCCCCAATACCAGAGTTCATTAGGCCAACTGGGATACAACAGATATTGTAGAGTTCTACACATTTGTATATACATCATTTACAAATTGGATTTTAATAACACAATATTTATGTATTTTTAATTTTTAACTACTGATTTATTATTTTTTTTTTTTTTTATTTTGTTGTGTTGTTTTTTTAATTAACTTTACTATCATTCACAAGAGCTGGTAAACCAGCAACCCAGTGTTCTCGTTCTCTGAGCAGGCCAAGCTACCAAAACGTCAATGGGAGAAAACTACATTAATAATTCTAAAAATTCATAGATGAAAGAAAAGGAAAATTTATGTATCTAAGTGTTTTTAGCTCACAAAAAAGAAACCTATCATTCTATAGGTATTTGAAGAATGATACCTCACTACTATAAAGGCTTGGTTTGATATTTCATTGGTGGTAGTGTCCAGGGTCACTGATGAGGAATGGAATTCTCCGAAACTAGTCTGGCTCACAGACACACACCCCCAATGAAAGAACAGACCATTCCACACTTTTACTTGCTGTTAAACAAATGTTTAAACAACTCTATTCAATAAAGAAAAATTTGCTATAATACTTCAATCCCACTACATCTGTCACATCCAGTGTCGATGAGACCTTTTGCCCAATGCCAAGTTAGTCAGGCCAACTGTAATACAACAGACATAGTAGTGGTATAGGTACTATAAACATCAATGTTCATGAACAACAACTGTGATGGTGTGAACCAGATTATACAAATGAATTGTATATTTATTATAATTTTTATTTGAGTCATTTTACAAATCAGATTTTTAGGGATACAATTAATAGCACACCATTATTTTTATTTTGAATTAAAAGAATTGGCAAAAGATATTTTGAAGCTAAAACAAGTGTCCTATGTTTTTTTGATCAGACATCAAAACATCTGTACATACACAGAGTTCTCTATCCGTCTGTAGTCGTGAGCAATTAGCTGGACCACTTTTAATAAAATGTATAGGCTAAGATGGAACCCTCAAACATTGAGTTTAAATGGGTGAGCAAATCAGATGAATTGTTTGAGTTTGGCAGTCATTTAAATTTTACCACCTTAATGCAGTGAACAAAAAATACAAGGCCAAAAAATCAGTGTAAAAGTACAAGGCCAAAATATCAGTGTAAAAATACAAGGCCAAAATATCAGTGTAAAAGTACACATATACATAACAAAATGCAAAAGGTAGAAAAGTATGGTACTTTAAAAAACTATAGAAAGGCAGCACTGTCATAACTGAAACACTCACTATTAACTGCAACCCATTCATTTAGGTCTTCTCCTTCAGGCAACATTACAGCAAGTCGCAGGTTCCCACTTCCTAGTGTGGCTGCAGCATGCTTCATCAGGTCATATTGATGGGTACCTTCCGGAATGTTTTTCTTGGGTTTGAATGTTTTGGAGGAACGACCTCCACTGAAAATGAAAAGTTTGTATCTTTAAAAATAATTTTACTCCTAAACACTTACAGCCATATGTATTTATCCAGGTTTAAGATATTAGGTTTGAAGGTTTCATGGCTCCTAAAGAATTCAAATAAAATAAATTATCATGCTTCATTCATTGTTATTTTCATTGGAAACTACAAAAGTTTACATTTTCCTATACCTAAAATGTATTTTTGATAATACTTACCTCCTCTCACACTTTAGCTTTATCCCGACCAAAAAGTTTCTCTTCTCCGCCCACCTAAGCATTGGTATAAATCTACCTCACTTGTTCCAGCCTTTACACCCAACGATATTGCTCAAAGCTAGTTTAATCTTGTGATTCTCTCCCCTTACATCAATGTGCCCCCATCCCATTTAGTAATGTGATATTATTGAAACCAAACCTGAAGAGTTACAGAATGTTGCATGTTGAGCCACCAGAATTATGAAGAGAAGGCAAGCAAGACAAAAGTGGACAAACCATTGCCCCCACCTGAAGAAGTGCAAAATGCAACAAACCAAACTTAGAATTAAGGGACCTGTCACGTCTCACTCAACCTGAAGAAACAGAGATCACCTGGTCTGGGATTATGAACCAAAATCCTAACTCTCCAACCTGAGAGGCAAGTAAACACCTCCTGCCCCTGGAGTTACAAGAAGGACTTGGAACAAAGTCGAACCAATGGCACAGAAGTTAAATTTCACGTACAGAATTATGAGGAGTCAAAGATACTCTTCCATGATCATTGAAATGAAGAGAATGACAAAAAAGAAGAATCATGCTCAACTCAACCAGATAGCGAAGACATATCTCTGAACCAGAATTACGAGGAGGCTCCTCCGTAGGCTGGTCCTGCTCCTACCATACATCTGGGAAAACCATCCAGAGTTATTGGTAAGAGGGCACCAAGCTTCGTCCTCTTCTCCCTGAGTGGAATAATGAGTTCAAACATCACTCAGGAGGAATAAACTTCTGTCCACCACTCCAACAAATGGAAACTGGGAGTAGTAAGTACTCCCACACTCCATTAGGAAAAATTGGGGATAGATACTCACATGGGAAAGTTCTGAGAAAGGATGCTCCAGAGACAGTGCAATAGGTGAACCACGTTCCCTATTTTGAAAAGCAAACCAACCCCAATTTATTAAGTCTAGGAGTCAGAAGGGATGGGCAAAATCCTCTTAAGCTTTACTGATGATAGTCCATTAGTTGCAGTCCAGTAGTGTATTTGTCTTTGTGTTATAATTGTTTACCACCTGGAATACCCCATCTCATCAGAGCTCGTTGCTACCAGGAAAACTTTTTTTTTTTTTTTATTTATTTATTTATTTA